TGAATCAAAACCAAATAATGGGATCTACTTTTTTAGTAAATATCCATATATAAATAAAGCAAAATAACTAAATAATTGGAAACCTGACCTACAAGTCATTGAAAAATTCAAAAAAATATATGAAAATGACAAATTTCAATACGCATACAAGAAAGCAAAGCAAAAATGCACGAAAATTAATCAAAATTATAATAAAAATAATAAAAATAATTTGTTTAATTTTATAACTTTACAAATATTTATATCAAACAAATCAAACAACTCAAAATTTCAAGAAAATTAGATCTTTGATACAGGATCAAATACACATATTTACAATGATTTGCAAAAATTCACTGATTTTAATTCAGTAAATAATGATACAGCCGTATTAGTAGGAGATACTAATACAAAAGTTTACAGATTTAAAACTGTTTGCATTAGCCCTACTGTTTGCATGTTAAATAAACTAATTAAATTTAACTTAAAAAATATTGCATACGTGCCCCACTTTCATCTGAATATAATCTCAGCAGGTAAAGTAAAGAAAGGTAATTTATACCTGAATTTACACAAAAATACACTCGAAACATACAAAAACAAATAAATATGCAAGATTAATGAACAAAATAATATTCTATTTATTAAATAGAATCAAATAAATCAACAAATATTTAAAACAGTAAATAAAATAAACCAAATTATAATAAACTATATAAACAGTGCAAAGCTAATTCATTCAAAAGGACCTGCTTTTCTTTGGCATCAGAGACTTGGACACCCTGATAAGAAAGTAATCAAATATCTTAAAGAAATAACCCTAAATATTCACTTATCAGACCTATTTAAATCAGATGAATTTGACCTCTACGAAACCTGCCATATTGTAAATACAAACAAACAAATATCACGCAGACCAATACAAACAAAACAAATATCTTTTAACTGTTTGTATTAGGATCTCATTCACATGCCTCCAGGAATCAAAAATAAATAATATATCAGTCATATATATGATCCATTCACTAAATATCACCTGGGGCAGACCCTTGCAAACAAAATAAATATTTATCAATCTTTAAAATAAATAATACAATTCATACAAACACAATTCAAAATAGAGCCTCATTAATTCCATTCAGATAATAATCCAAATTTATTTAACTGGTTTGCATTCTACAAGAAAACAGGTCTTCTAGTTACGCAAAGTCCTGAGAGTCAATCTAAATAAAATACCTTTACAGAAAGAGCTGGAGCCCTAATTACTCAAAAAATACGTATCTTATTAATTAACTCTGGACTGCCCCACTTTTTATAGCCTGAGATAATAGAAACAGCTATATTTATATTAAACAAAACATTAAACAAAGTAAACAATTAGGAAACCCCACATAGTAAACTATATAAATATTTAGAAAATCCACCAAACTTCTTGTATGAAAAACCTGATTTAGCTAATCTAAAGCAGTATAGCTCAAAAGCTTATATATAAATTACTAAGCTGCCCCACCTTAGCAAGCTAAATCCTAAAATCCTGATTAGCTACCTAGTAGGATATATTGCATTAAATATATAGAAAATCTGGATCCTAACAAAGCAAAAAATAATAATTGCAAGAGATTGCATTTTTGATGAAAATTCACTATACAGTCAAGCCAATGCAAAAATTAGTGAATTTCATCAAGATAATTTAAGGCTAAATCCACCTGAAGCCCTAAATAATAAAGAAATCAATGAAATTATCAAATTTATCAAAGAAAATTCAAAAATTCATGATTCTCATCAAAATAATATGGAAGAAGAAAATTCAACAATTTTTTATGAT